GCATCCCCCACTCTCCAGCATCCCCCCTCTTAGTTCATGTCCATGGGTTGTATATATATGTTCTTTGGCTTCTCCATTTTCTATACTATTCTTAATCTCTCCCTGTCTATTTTGTGCCTACCATTTATACTTCTTAGTCCCTGTACATTTTCCTCCAACCCCTCCCCATTGATAACCCTCCAAGTGATCTCCATTTATGTGATTCTTTTCCTGTTCTAGTTGTTTGCTTAGTTTGTTTTTGTTTTTTAGATTTAGTTGTTGATAGTTTTGAGTTGGTTGTCATTTTACTGTTCATAATTTTCATCCTTTTTTCTTAGATAAGTCCCTTTAACATTCACTTTAATAAGGCTTGGTGAAGAATGAACTCCTTTAACTTGACCTTCTCTGGGAAGCACTTTATTTGCCCTTCTATTCTAAATGAGAGCTTTCCTGGATAGAGTAATCTAGGTTGTAGGTCCTTGCTTTTCATCACTTTGAATACTTCTTTCCAAACCCTTCTTGCCTGTAAGGTTTCTTTGGAGAAATAAGCTGATAGTCTTCTGGTAACTGTCTCCTTTTCTCTTGCTACTTATAAGATTCTCTCTTTATCTTTAATCTTGGGTACCTTAATTATGATGTACCTTGGTGTGTTCCTCTTCAGGTTCAACTTCTTGGGACTCTCTGGGCTTCCTGTATTTCCTTGCCAGATTAGGGAAGTTTTCCTTCATTATTTTTTCAAATAAGATTTTCATTTCTTGCTCTTTCTCTTCTCATTCTGCCACCCCTATGATTCAGATGTGGAAATGTTTAAAGTTGTCCTGGAGGTTCCTAAGCCTCTCTTCACTTTTTTGAATTCTTGTTTCTTTGTTCTGTTCTGATTGGATGTTTGTTTCTTCCTTTTGTTCCAAGCCGTTGATTTGTGTCCTGGTTTCTTCTCCTTCACTGTTGGTTCCCTGTATATTTTCCTTCATTTCACTTTGTGTAGCCTTCATTTCTTCCTTCATTTTTTGACCAAACCAAAGAGTTTTTGTGAGCATCCTGATTACCAGTGTTTTGAACTGTGCATCTGATAGGATGTCTATCTTCTCTTCATATAGTTATTTTTCTCAAGTTTTGATTTATTCTTTCATTCGAGCCATATTTCCTTGTCTCAGTGCACCTGTTATGTTGTAAGGGGCAGGGCCTTAGGTATTCACCAGGTTGGGGCAACACACTTTGCTGCATTGTGGTGTTGTCTGTGAGTGAGGGGTCAGAGAGGGGAACAATGCCACTTGCTCGGATCTTGCCCCACCTTCTGTCTCACACTTCCCACAAGTGGATTGTGGTGTTTCAGTTACTGATTCACATGTGGGTGGGCTTGTGTGCATTCTAGGATCCTTTGGGCCTCTCCAGTAGACTCTCCTGTGAGACCAGGAGTTTCTCCTGCCACTGCCACCCTTACAGGTTTTTCAGTCAGAGGTTTTGAAACTTTATTTCCCTGTGCTGGAACACTGTGTGGCAAGGTTTGTCTCACTCCCCAGCTGTTACTCCTGGTTTATCTGCATGCAAATGAAGGATCACCCAGTCTGCCAGCCACCACCTTGCCATGTGTCCTTTCTACCCTGTCTATCCCTCCTATTATTCTGGATGGTTGTATCTTTTTAAGTCCTTGGTTGTCATAGTTTCATGCAGTTTAATTTTCTGGCAGTTCTGGTTGTTTTTGTTTTTAAATTGGTTGTTATCCTTCTTTTGATTACGAGAGGAAGTAAAGCATTTTTACCTATGCCTCCATCTTGGCTGGAACCTAAATTATTATTCTTACTTGAGTTTTATAGAACAGAAGATTTTCTGCATAATTGTTTTATAAGCATCAAATCCATTATCTGCTTATATACTGTAAACATTTGACTTTTCAAATTGCTGGGCCATTAATTAATAATATGAATGCCAGCCATATTATCTTGCCAAGAAAGAACAAAGGTATTTTATTGTTAGGTAATCTTGGAAGAGTTCATTGCAATTAATAATCCTACTGTATTTCCTACTGCCATCACTGCCTCATGGATTTAATTCTCTACTTGGAAGTTATTTAGAACAAGAAATTGTTTAGAACATTTTTCCTGAGGAGGTTAATCTCTCTGTATCAGGGTTTCTCAACCTTGGCACTCTTGACATTATTGCTAGAGTACATTTTTGACAGGGAGGTATTTAGCACATCTCATTAGACAGTGGCACACCACCCCTCCCCCTTGCAACAATGAAATATGTCTCTAGAGATTGCCAAATAGGGGAGGGGAGGCAAACATCCCCTCGGTCTTCCTTCCTATACAGAGAATCACATGTCTTTATATTGCTTTAAATTATAACTTGAAAAAATGATTAAAATGTTATTTGTTTTTGGAATTACTCAGGTAATAGTTTCTTTAAGGATAGCTTGGTATAAGTATAGCCTGGAGGTTGCAGAGAGTTTTCATGTCCTTGCAGTGTTAAAGACCAATGCTATTCACAACCAGTCAGTAAATTTAATGAAAAAAGGGAAGAGAATATTGAATGTGCTGAGAAGGTTGACATGTCATGTACTGTTACTAATGCAGAAATAATAAGGGAGTTTTCTGAATGTTAAAAAGTCAAAAGAGGTTGATAAAAAGACATGAAGAAGATGATTGCAGTGAAGTCTTCTTTAGCTTTTGAAGTAATTAGAAAACCAGCTGTACTATCTTGTCAAGAAAGGGCTCCATTTTCACATTCTGCTTTTCAATTTTAAGAGCAAGAAACAAATGGCAAGTAAAGAAGTTGCTATCTGTAGTTTATTTTTTAAAGCAATTTCTAGAATATGTCATAGGGACAATGTGGGTTCCCTTTGTGGTTCTGTAAAAATGATCATTGGTGGTCATTTAAAGTGCTGTGTGAAAAACAAATGTCTTTGGAACGATCCACAGAAATGAGATTCTGTACGCATTCACATGACATGTATTAAACCTCTTATATGCCAGGTTCTGTCAGGCAATACAGAAAATAATAAAACATTCTACTTGAATATACCATTAAAATAATTCTGGATGAATGGAAATTTTCTGATTAGGGAAGGATACCAATTACCATCAATCAATTACCCTCTTTTCCAGTTGATTATGTAGTGTTAACTGTTTGCAATGCCTATTTAAAAGTGTTCACCTGGGTTCATGTGGCTCAGTGGATTGAGCGCTGGCCTATGAACTGAAAGGTCACTGGTTGGATTCCTACTCAGGGAACATGCCTGGGTTGCAGGGCAGGTCCCCAGTTGGGGGCATGAGAGAGGCCACTGGTTGATGTCTCTCCCTCTCTTTCTCCCTCCCTTCCCATCTCTCTAAAAGAGAATAAACAAAATCTTTTTAAAAAGTGTGTGTGAGTGTGTGTATGGCATATAACATGTATGTAATTTAATTCTTTTAAAGCTGTTTCTGAAAGCTATATTCATTTTCTTTTATACTTGTTAAAATATTCTTTAAATTACTTTATTAAATATACATGAGAGTTGAATAAAATATGGTTCTATATTATTAATTTATTTTTGTTATACAGTTGCTCTAATATCATTAAGAAAAATTGATGTCACCCTCAAGGCCAGAATTTTTGCCAATTATTGCCAGTTGGTGTCAGAATTTGAAAAGCTAGATTTTTATTGAAAGTCAGGTATAGTCTTAAAAACACTTTCTGTTAAGAGTGATCAAGTTATATTATAGGTATGATAAGGAAAAAGCGAAATCTTTATGATATTGGATAGACCGGAGTTAGTAAAACAAATAATTCAACATTTAGGCAGTTACAGATAAATAGGAAAAATATAGAGTTCTAGCTCTTGAAAATACATTCTTCTTCCTTATTTTCTAATGTCAGTCTACATCATGAATGTACAGACCTATTCAGAGCCATAAGCTCCCTGCCTTCAAGCAGGTGATTCAGATACTATTTTAGCAATGTATACTCAAGGAAACACAAGCCAGCTTGGTCTAAGGAATAATGAAATCTTGTACCACGATGGTCATTTTTTAGTGTAACCTAACTGAGACCCATTAACTATTAAATATTTTTATATATTTTCTATGGAACTAACTGATCTGTGGACTACTATTCTTCAATCTTTCTTATGGCCCCTAAAAGTCACTGCTCTAATATATATGGGTATAACCTATATTTATTATTTTTATTATTTACTTCTTTGAAAAGATAGAAATGCCACTAGATTATAGCTATTTATCTAAATAACCCCAAACTGATAAGTGAGAGATACTGCTAAGAAAGCAAACTTTTTACACATGCAAAGATTTTTATTCATTTTTGGTTGACTAGAATTATAACTAATAACACAAGGGGAAATAATGTAATATGTCATGGTTAATCTTTGACCTTTATTAATGGGGCCTTTGGAGTTTGGAATCAGACTAGACTTATATTCAAATCCTGGCCCAACCACTTAAAATTTTTGTGACCTTAGATAAGTTATTTTTAACCCTTCTTTAGCTCACTTGTCCTATTCTTAATAAAAAGGATGTAATCATAGTATGTATTGCAATGGATTGTTTTAAGGATTATATGAGATCATGTGTGTAAATTTCTTGGCACAGCACCTGATGCATAGTGACTGCTCAGTAAATGATAGATATTATTTTATCTTTCTAAAAGTAGGTATTCCAAATTAATTTTGGCTGTGAATAACACATTTTGATTGCATTGCTACCTACACAGTGAAATAAACAACAGCAATTACTTTGGCACTGAAAAAAAGGAACCCCCTGTGATTATGGTTTTGAACCAGCTTTTAGGTTGATTTATCAGGTCTCATTTATCTTTACTGACCTTGGGAACCTTTTTGAAAATATATGTATTTCTTCTATAATGTAAAAATGGTCTGAACCTAAAATCTAGTGAAACAAAATTTAGTATGTTCCATAGTTAGATGATTGGTACTAGTGACTGGTTATTTCTTGAAATAGTCATCTCATTACTGTGAATTATATGACAACCTTTAATTTGCCTTTGTTTATGGTTTAAAAATATTTCAGATCTCTTGTGGAAGAGGAAGACCAACACATGAAATTGTCCCTTGGAAGCAGCGAAATGGGCCTCTCATCCCATTTGCAGTCTTCCAAAGCAGGAGCCACTCGTATCTTTACCAGCAATACCCACAGTTCTGTGGTGTTACAGGTAATCTAAACTGTTCTTGTAGTGTTTACATGGCTTTAGAAACTACCTAGGGTTTTGGTGATGTGGGATGTCAATAGTGGAGGAGTTTTGTACATGTTTGGGGACAGGGGTTATAGGGAAACTCTACTTTCTGCTCAAGTGTGTTGTGAACCAAAACCTCTAAAAATTAAGTTTATCAATTTAAAAAAGCAAACAAACACCACAGGAGAAAACTTGAGTGGAAACTGCATACCTTCCTGGTCTTAAATCCCCAGAGTTCATTCTTTGTTTTGTTTGTGTAAAGGAGGTCTTGAGATCATGGCGCTTTCTTAGAGAATGTTGTACCTAGCAACATTAACTTTTCATCATCTCAGCCAATGTAATTATCACAAAGTCTTCTCACTAAATTTTCTAGTTCCTCACAATTTATTTTACTGTCACCTTTATCATAGTTCTAAAGGTTGTATTTATTTGATATCTCAGCTCACATTAGCAATGTGAGAACTGCTGAATGCAATTACACTGATAAATATAAGAAGTAGTAACTCACATCCAAGGATAGGACAAAAAAAAAAAAACCAATAGAAAGCCAAAAGAACATACAGAACTGCAATGTGGAGGTATTTAGTGTAGGGATAGACCAAGTACTTCTGACCCTTGTGGTCATTCCCCGACCTCTGTGGGCATTGCTGAATCAGAGAATCATATAATACTGGATGTCCATAAATGTCTTCTAGATATAGTTAAATTATATCAGTGTTCTGTGCTTAGTAAGATAAAGAAAATAAATCTTTCTAAATGCATTTTTAAAAGAAATCTCCCCAGTGAATTTTATGTAAATATCTGGTCAAGAACCATTATAATAAAGTTAGTTGAGGAGGCAAGATGACGATGCAGTAGGAGGGAGCATATTCCAGTTCCTTGCAAAGTAGGGAGAGAATCCTGTCCAATCTGCAGAGGAGAAGCCAGGCAGCCAGCAGTTGCTCAGCATATATGAAAATAAGGGGCCAGAAATCTTGACGGTCACGGAGGATCCAGATGGTAGGGAGACAGCCGCGGTACAGTAGAGTCTCGCAGACGGAACAAAGAAAGGAACAGCAGGGAATTTGGGGGGTACAGAGTCTGGGGACCAGTACTTGGTGCCCAGCGTGCCTGGGTTGATGCCAAGTGCTCTGGACCAGTTCCCCGCGTATCTCCCTCGGCAGGGGCCTGCTGAAGGGACCAAAACAAAGACAGGAGCAGAAGGGTTTTCAGCTGGTGCACAGTTCAAAGGATCAGTGCCCCGCGCACAGCATGTCTGGGCGGGGGCCCAGCCTTCAGATCAGCTTCTGGCTTCCAGCTCATCTCCCTTGAACTCTTTGGGAGCCCTGGGCCTGCCGAGGGGTCCTTGGGAGAGAGCTGGGATCCTCAACTTCCTCCCTTTCTGGCCAAGCAAGGTTGGGCGCCAGGAGAGATTTGTTTACTAGAGTTTGCAGAGAGGGTGCTGAGGACAAAGGGCCTCAACTGTGTACTCTGTGGTCACCAGCCCCAAAGAACTGATAGGCACAGTGTGGGACTCTGACTGTGATAGACACAGCCACCTGATGTGCTCCTCACCCAGCCTGGAAGCTAACCCAAGGTTGGACAGAGGGCCTGGAGTTCCTCCACAGAACTGAGGCAGGTCTGTGCTACCCATTGTTTGTGAGCCTGTGCTATCTCGTGGGAACCAGGCAGCCTGGCCGGTGCAGGCACACGTGAGCCCTGCAACCCAACCCACAGTGGTAACCCCTGGGAAAAGAGCGCTGTGAGAAAGTCCTAGATCTCCATTGGAAGGAGCTGGGGAGAGGCGCCAACAGTTTGGCTTCTGAGAGTGGGCTTGCAGAAAAAACACACTAGTCAACCCTCAGCCAGCTACAGCCAGAAAAACCAGTTTGGCCAATTTGAAACCAACAAGCCAGGTTTCTTTTTTTGTTTTCCTTTTCTTTGCTTTCTTTCTTTCTTTTTCTTTTTTTCTCTTTTAAAGTAATCTGTTATTTTTTAAAATTTTATTATTGTTTCATCTTTCAGTACTTTTGTCCTCTTTTTTGTATTTTCTGTTTTATTCCTTCTTCCTTTGTTTCCAAATTTATCCCTCTTTCCTTCAGTCCCCTGCCTTTTCTCCTTTTATTTCTTTCCTTTTCTTTTCTTTCGTTTACCCACAAAGGACACAAACAACTTGAAAATGTGAAAAAACTAGAGCAGGACCCATACAAGAGGCTTCCCAAAAGTAGAGTAAGAGAGACAAATTTCACTTTGCTGTAAGAGAGAAGCCACAAGTTGCTGCATATTGGAGTAGGTGGAAGCAGAGAACAACAGGATAACTGAGAGAGACTGCACCACTGAATTTCACAGACATTCCACCACAGAAGTTCACACCATAAACCCAGGGAGTGACAACAGATCAATCTAAGAAGCTGAAGCTAACAAGAAGAGGCTCACAAACAATGGAAGACGAAGAAACAATCACCAAATGAAAGGAAAGGAGGATCCCTCAGAAAGAATGTTAGATTAAATAGAGGCAAGTCAACTATCAGATATTGAATTCAAAGCACTGATTATCAGGAAGTTCAAAGAGCTCACAATGAGCTACAGGAAACTACAGGAAAGCTACAGTGATCTCACTGCAAACTATATCAACATGAAAAAGGAAATGGAAACTATTAGCAAGGGACAAGAGGAAATGAAGAATACAATTTCCAAATTGAAGAACACAGTACAAAGTATTAAAAGTAGAGTCGATGAGACAGAAGATTGGATTAGCGAGTTGGAGGACAAAGTAAAAAACATCTCACAGAAAGATCAGGAAAAGGAAAAAAGGCTCAGAAAGAATGAAGAGGGATTAAGAGAAATGCAAGACAATATGAAATGTTATAACATCCAAATTATAGGAATACCAGAAGGAGAAGAAGAAGAACAAGGGATAGAAAAACTATTTGAAAGAGTAATAAGAGAATATTTCCCTAATTTGATGAAGGAAAAAGCCACACAAATCCAGGAATCACAGAGAGTCCCACTCAAGAGGAACCCAAGGAGGCCCACTTGAAGACACATCATCATCAAAATGGCAAAATTCCAAGACAAAGAGAGAATCTTAAAGGCAGGAAGGGAGAAAAAAGAAGTAACATACAAGGGAGCCCCAATAAGGTTAGCTACTGACTTCTCAATGGAAACACTTCAAGCAAGGAGAGAATGACAAGAAATACTCCAAGTAATGAGAAACAGAGGCCTACAACCAAGGCTACTTTACCCAGTAAGGCTCTCAATCAAGATAGAAGGCCAAATAAAGAGCTTCCAAGATAAAAGAAGTCTAAAAGAATATGCTTCCACCAAACCAACCCTACAAGAAATACTAAAAGGACTGCTTTAAGGAAAGGAAAGAAAAGAGACAGAGAGGGACACAGGTACAAAAATGGGAATGAATAAGTACCTATCAATAATTACCTTAAACATAAATGGATTAAATGCTCCAATCAAAAGACACAGAATAGCTGCATAGATAAGAAAGCATGACCCACACATATGCTGCCTACAAGAGACCCACCTCAGGACAAAAGACCTACACAGACTAAAAGTGAAGGGCTGGAAACAAATTTGCCAAGCAAATGGACAAAAAAAAAAGCTGGGGTAGCAATACTCATATGAGACAAAATAGACTTCAAAAAAGGGGCCATAAAGAGGGACCTAGAAGGTCACTTCATAATACTCAAGGGAAGAATCCACCAAGAAGACATAAACATTGTCCAAATGTAAGAGCACAAAATATGTAAAGAAAATCTTAGAGGACTTTAAGAAATATTTTGACAGCAACACAATTATAGTAGGGGATTTTAACACCCCACTGTCAGACATAGACAGATATTCCAAACAAAATACAAACAAAGAATTGTGTCATTAAACAACACCCTAGATGAAATGGACTTAATTGATATATATAGAGCCCTTCATCCCCCAAAGCTAAATACACATTCTTTTCGAATGCACATGGAATATTCTCAAAGATAGACCACATGATAGGACGCAAAACAAGCCTCCCCAAATTCAAGAAAATGGAAATCATACCAAGCATTTTCTCTGACCACCAGAAACTGAAACTGTAAACTAACCCCAAAGGAAACATCCCAAAACACCCAAAATCATGGAGACTGAATGGTATGCTACTAACAATGAATGGGTCAAGAATGAAATTAGGAGCCCTGGCTGGTGTAGCTCAGTGGATTGAGCGTGGGCCTGCGAACCAGACAATCGCGGTTCGATTCCCAGTCAGGGCACATGCCAGGGTTGCAGGCAGGTACCCTGCAGGCCAGTTCCCAGCAGGGGATGCACGAAAGGCAACCATACATTGCTGTTCTCTCCCTCTCTCCTTCCCTTCCCCTCTAAAGATAAATAAATAAAGTCTTTAAAAAAAGAATGAAATTAGGAAATAAATCAAAAAGTTTCTGGAAACAAATGAAAATGAAATCACAACAACCCAAAATTTATGAAACATAGAGAAGGCAGTCCTGAGAGGGAAGTTTATAGCAATACAGGCCTACCTAAAGAAGATAGAAATATCTGAAACAAACAACCTAACCCTAGGCCTGCAAGATCTCGAGGAACAACAACAAAGACAGCCCAAAGCAAGTAGAAGGAAGGAAATAACCAAGATCAGAGCAAAATTCAATGACATAGAGATTAAAAGCACAATTCTAAGGATCAATGAATCCAGGAGTTGGTTCTTTGAAAAGATAAACAAAATCGACAAGCCTTTAAGTAGTCTCATCAAGAAAAGAAGAGAGTGGACACAAATAAACACAATCAGAAATGAAAGAGGAGACATTACAACTGATTCCACAGAAATAGAAGGGATTGTAAGAAATTACTATGAAGAACTGTATGCCAAGAAATTTGAAAACCTGGGTGAAATGGACAAATTTCTAGAAAAATATAATCTCCCAAAACTCAATGAAAAAGAAGCAGAAAACCTGAACCGACCAATGACAGCAAATGAAATTGAAGCAGTAATC